TTAGAAATTAAAGTCCCTGTTGTATTGAAGAGTCAGTTAGCAGGATGCCAGTGTCCCTGTTCCCTGCTGTTTTCCTTCTCAGCAAAATGCCTCTCCTTATATCCTTATATTCAGCTTTTTTTTTTTTTTTTTTTTTTTTTTTTTTTTTACTTAGCACCCCACACAGACATGTGTTATTCAGGGAGTCACTGATCAACTTATTTGTGTGTATAAAAATAAATGTATTATCCATGCTACAAACTGAATCTGGAGACAAATTCCACCCTCAAAATTAAGGTTATTATATGTAACTACAGAGAACATCACTCTACCTTGCGAAGTATGGTTCTCAACAGTGAATCAGTGAATCCTGTTTCTCTTCCTTAATGTCCTCATTAATTTCGTTTTGCAATTACACTAATATTGCAAGGAAGCAATTGTGAGACCATTACCAATCATTAGGATCTGCCAGCACCAGCAGTAAGGGGACCTGGGATGCCACATCTTAGAAAAGCACTTTTCTCTCCCAGACTCTGCTTCTTCACAAGTTTTTATCTATGCCTTGTTGTGAACCCTAAGATTCAGATAGGGTAGTAAGAAATGAGAAAGCAAGAAAGAAGCACACACACAAAGAAGAAAGAGAGAGAGAGAGAGAGAGAGAGAGAGAGAGAGAGAGAGAGAGAGAGAGGCAGAGAGACAGAATCCAGTAACAACAAATTGTACAACACTAAAGACAAATAAAGCTTTTATAATTGTTCTGCACAGGCCACTACAGAGAAACACATCCGCCATGGGGCATGTGGGAATTCTGTGCAGAATCACCAGTTTAGTGTGATTACAAAAATCTCCAAATCCCTTACCCTGGGACCTCCATCCCAAAGGATCTCCTGGGTATCTACAAATCATGCATCAATAATAAAGAGTGCCAGAAAATAAGAACTCCACAGGACACTCCCAGATGTTGCAAAGCTCAGCATCTTTCTTCAGAGAACAGCAACTGCACCTAGGTCTGGGGAAAATTATCTACCAAGTGGAAAAGGTAATTTTATCTCTCCTTTTATTTGCAATCACTCTGACTTATTTTCGTCAATAATGATTTAGTTGGGAGTGCTTTGTAAGCTCTTCTGTAGCGTTAAGTCTGTCTGTGTTACCTCTAAGACATTAATTTCTTTTCAAAATTATGTACATGTGTTATGTTCCCTGCAGTTCCTTGTTGAGCTGTATGTACAGAAAGACTTTTAATGCAATTCTGGAACAGCCTCTAGGCTTCAAGTTAAAGCCAAGAAAACAAAAGTTGTACTTGGGAAAATGACACTTATACAATCTTTAGCAAAACTAACAATTTAAGATTTTTAATAATATAATTTCATTAAATATTTCATTACATTGAGTTCTTGTTGAATAAAAAACACTCGCATATTAGTCTGTATTTAAAAATGATCTTTTGAGGTTCAGAAATAACACGGGTTGATTTTTATTATGTAGTATCTTAAGACCTCATTTACTTTAGGTTTCATAAGAAAGGCACCTCATATCACTCCAGTAATAATGTGAAAGCTAGAATGTTCAAATTCAAACAAGTGATTTTTAGGTATTATATAGGTAGGAAACCAAATATTTGACACCATAGGGAAAGGATCCACTTCCCATTTCATGCACCCATTGAGAGTATCCATGCCCTTCTTCCCTAGTCCTTCATGGGATGTTCTGGTAGATTCTAAAAGGATACTTCAATGTCATATAAACATTATGTGTAGAGCTCTTCAGCAACTTTCCACTCTCACATACAAATTACACTTAAGGGACTGGGATGTAACTAAGTTGATAGCGTACTTGCCCAGAATGCATGATGCCCTGGAATCTATTTTCCATGCTGTATAGACTTCGATATTATGTGTTCCTGTATCCCAGCACTTGGGAGGTAAACACAGATATGTTCAGAATTTTATCATCCTTGCAACTCAGTGAGTTCTACAAACACACACTTTCATCTTTATTGACTAGCACTGTCCCAAGTGTCTCACGCTGATGTGTGTGTGTTTATTTTAGCATCAGTATGACATTTCTTTTTAAATGAAATTAATTTGCTTGTATTCTTTTCACTTGAACTTCCCAATTGTAGTCAATATTTCCCCCTAGTTTGTGCCAATGCATGATGTTAATTTGAGGAATTACACTATTGCCACCAGTAGGCATGATACATAAAGCAAGGCCAAAGAAAATCTCAACTCCTACCAGTCCCTCAGAACCTGCTTTGTAAATCCCTTGAGCCTGCCATCTGTAGCTGGACATTAACTTTGGACACTCCATGCAGATACATGTCTGTTGTCATATAATATAACTTGGTATAAAATAAGCTTCAATTTTACTTGTCTTTGTACATGCAATTTAATACTACATGTAAAAAATGAACCAGGTGTTTATCGTTTGTATCACGTTAGAGTAACCAGTGTAATGTTCTACTAAAATCCATTTATAAATAATTGTTACTGACAATTATTTGAATTTTATGGATTTGGATAATCCAAGAAGCATGAATATCTCTTTTCTTAGTACCAGCCTTGCCAACCTATCATGCTTAGAAGTTATACCAACATATGTTAAAGGGACAGAGGAGACAACTGAACAGAAACTGGAGCTCCCTAAGCCAAAACTGGAAGAACTCAGCAATAAAGTAAATTACTGATATGTAAAAACTCAAACATAAAATAAAATCCCTTGAGTTGACTGACATAAAGAGATTACTGACAAAAGTAAGTGAATACATTTGTTGCGAAGAATCTCAAATAATTTGTGTAGTTGCAAACTTTGTGTTAATTCTCCAGAGAAGCAAGGGCAATATAATGATGAGTAGGAAATGGGGACAGATTTTAGACAATCTTCTTTGCTATCCTGGAGACTTAATGAACCAGAGAGTGTAGAGAAGGCTAGAGACAGACTGGAATCTGTGGCAAGTTGCAAGGTCATTTCATAGCACGAATTTTTGCTTTGAGAGGTTAATATTTTCCTCCTAAGACCATCAGCTGACAAGGCAATGAAGAGAATCTGCTTATGTAATGCCAGCCACATGCAATTGATATCTTCACAGAGATATATAGAATAATTACTTAGTACATATATGGGGTCCATGCAACAGCCAATTTAAGACACAAAGTTAAGCACCTGTTCATCAAGTGTGGTCTGTGTATTGCAAATTCCTTCTCTTCAGTACAGTAAAAAGGAGAACAGAGAGACCACACTATGAGGAAACTTCAGACACTGCCTCAATGGTCAGGAGATGTTCAGAGAAGGAGTGATGGGTGATGTAAATTGAGGTACCCTTGATAATGTGTGATGAGAAGAGCATTTCACCTCTGAGGCCATATCTCCCAAATCTGTATCTTCAGTCCAACCATGAGGAAAACTTTCAAACAATTGCCACTGATGAACTTTTATAAATCAGTTTTTCTCAAGCTCTCCAAGCTGACCAAAACCACTAAGGTCCTAGAGGACATCTGTTAACCTGTCCTGAAAATGAAGCATGTAGTGTAGTACATTGACCAGAACTTGAAACCAAAAGGGAGAGAGATAGTAAGAAGTCTTCAGAGAGAGTAGAATTTGATTCACAATTGTATGAAAAGTAGTGATTCATGAATTCTGCAAAGTCCATTGTTCAAATGTCACAGAACCTGGGTGTGGAGTACAGGAAATTATTTGTACTGGCTTCACAAAGTTTATGTATATCAAATGTAATAGAGTTATTACAAAATATAAATAAATTCATGCACAAACCTTTCATCAAAAGTACCAATTCACAAACTGCTATTTTCTTTCTAATTAATTAATTTATTTTTTACATATCAATCACAGTTTCCCTTTTCTCCCCTCTTCTACCCTTCCTCTATCTACTCCTCCTTTGTCTCCATTCAGAAGTGGTAAGGTCTCCCAAGAGAGCCAACAAAGCATGGCTTATCAAGTTGATGCATGTCCAACCTCCTCCCCCTTGAATACAGGCTGGTTAAGGCATCTTACCATAGGGAGTAAGTTCCATGAAGCTCATCCATCACATCAGGGACAGGTCCTTGTCTCACTGCTAGGGACCCCATGAAACACCAACCTACACAACTGTCACCCATATGCAAAGAACCTAAGTTGATACTGTCCCAGTTCCCTAGCTGTCTGTCCAGAGTCCTTGAGCTGCCACAAGTTCAAGTCAGCTGTCTCTGTGGTTTTCCCCATCATAATTTTGACCTCCCCTTAGCTCATACACTCTTTCCTCCCTCTCTTCAACTAAAATCCCAGAGCTCGCCCCGTGCTTGGCTGTGGATCTCTGCATCTACTTGATGAAGGCTCTATGATGACAGCTGGGGTATTTAACCAATCTTATTACAGGGGAAGACCAGTTCAGGCACGTTCTCCAATATTACTCGCAGTCTTAGCTAGAGTCATCCTTGTGGATTCATAGGAGTCCCCTGTCACTAGGTTTCTACCTATCCCCATAATGGCCCACTCTATCAAAGTCCTCTTTCATTATTCTTCCCCTCTGTCTAGCCCCCGACTTGACTATCCTAATCCCTTATATTTCCAACACCCCACCCTCTCCCCTCTACTCCCTGCCCAGAGTTTACCCAGTATATTTCATGTATTTCCTCTTCCCAGGGAGATTCATGCATCCCTCATAGGTTCCTCCTTGTTATCTAGCTTCTGTGTGGCTGAGGACTATAGCCTGGTTATCCCTCGCTTTACATCTAATATCCACTTATAAGTAAGTACGCACCATGTTTGACTTTCTGTGTCTGGGTTACCTCACTCAAAATGATTCTTTCTAGTTCTATACATTTTCCTGAAAATTTCATAATGTCATTTTTTTCCCTGCTGGATAGTACTCCATTGTGTATATGTACCACATTTTCTTTACCCATTCTTCAGTTGAGGGCCAAGTACATTGTTTCCAGGTTCTGGCTATTATGAATAATGCTGCTATGAACAGAGCTGTGATATGATTGAACATCTTTTGGGTATACACTCAAGAGTGGTATGAAAAAAATGTGGAACCCTTCACGAATTTGCACATCATCGTTTTGCTCAGTCCATGCTAATCTTCTCATCATTCCAATTTTAGTATATGTGCTACCAAGTTGAACATGATATTTTCTTACATTATAATACTATACAGAAAGTAAATTTAAAAACTATCGTGAAACATCAGAAATGAACTTGCAGACATATAGTATAATGTACTCTCTCACTATGCTCTTACCTCTGTACAAAAGGTGTAAGGTTTATTATTGCAAAGCCAAACATCCAATAATTCATTGGAAATAAAAGGCAATAGGTTCATTGAGAAAATTAATGTTATTCAAACCTGCAGCCCTCTGGCACCTCTTCATTATATAAAGCGCCATTAAACTTATATAATTACTGGTAGGAGGGAAGCAATAAGATTCTCCACAGAGGGAGCAAATTTTCAATGTGAGAAATCAATATTCTTGGACTGGCCTCAAAAGAAAAGTCTAGAAGGAAAAGAAATCAAATAACCTACCACTGGCAGCAAGTGATGTCGTTCAGTTAAACCAACGTCTGTTGAATCTGGCAACCTCCTTGTTGCTTCGTAGATAAATCTCTTTACCAGAACACTCAAGTCAACTCAAATGCACACCAGACATGTCTGAGCCACACTGCATCAGCCTAGGAAGCACTGTTGGTGGTCACAGACACTGTGGATTCAGGTAGAGGAAACTCTGACTTAGGCAATCTCTAGTTTAATTTGTGCTCCCCCCCCACACACACCCTGTTCTTTCTTTCTCTGAATCCACATCCAACATTTTGGTTTTCAGGTTGGTTAGACTAGACTCACTTAGTCATAAATTCAAAAATAAACATGGATTAAGTGTGTGCGTGCGTGCGTGCGTGCGTGCGTGTGTGTGTATGTGTCTGAACTGGAACTGTTCTTACCTTTCAGAAAGATGGCTATGAATTCAGATAATTTGCTTTGGGGAAAATCTAAACCGATTTTATCTGTCTGTGTCCCAGTCAATGTGAAGCGTCATGGACAGCTGGAGTCCATGCCCACACTGAGAGCTATTAAATACCCTATGGTTCTTGTTAAAGGAAATTATTTCCAACTGGATGCCAGGTGGCTCATTCCCACAATGCATTAGGAGGCTGAAATGATGTGTGAGCAAAGGGGTTTGTATATATACAATACACTCATGTATGAATAAAACCTTAAATGTGCACAAGCAATAAAAACAAATCCTTACAACTTTAGAAGAGAAAAAAGAGGCATTAGGTGAGATATGATTTCTTTACTTTTTATGATCTTGAGTCCCCTGGGGTTGAACCAGAAAAAAATTTAATAAGGTAATTTATTTTAAATTTTTATTTTACAAAGAAAATAGTTTCTGCATTACTCATCTTGATTTACATGAAGGCAGCCGGCTTTTAAAATCTTAAAATACTTTATTCCAACAAAATACTGAGCCTTCTCAGTTTAGTAGCTACATGTATATCTGTATTTAATGCAAACCTGAGCAAGTTACAACTCTTGCTTTTGGCATATATAGAAACATTAGAAAATTATTTAGTCACATCTCAAGTTTGTGAAATACTTTCTCCTGCATGGGGCACATTTGTAGTCATTTTTTCACTTTCTGGTATTTCTCAGGGCACATTTGTAGTCATTGATTCACTTTCTGGTATTTCTCAATGTAATTTTGAGAAAATAGTTTATGCTTTCAGAATTATTCTTATGTTTTATGGTTTCTTTATTTTTATTTTTAAATATATTTTAATTAAAATATAGGTACATCATTTCTCTCTTTCCTTTTCCTTCCTCCAATCATTCCCACTCTCAATTTGATAGATTTCTTTTCCTTTGATTTATTGGTACACACAGACACACACACACACACACACACACACACACACACACACAAGTACATACATGTGCACAGGTAGAGAAATATAACTTGTTAAGTCTGTTTTTCTTTTCTGCATGAATATGGTTTTAGGACTGACCATATTTGTATTGGATAATTAACTATGGGGCTTGTTCCTGGAAGACACTAATTCTTCCTTTACCAGTAGCCATCAGTTACTTATAGAATTTTGTGTAAGTGTGGGACTCCAATAATATTTTCCCTTTCCTGGCTGGCATGGCTTTTGACGTTGTCATGGATCCAGTCTTGTTTATACAACCTTTTCTATGAGATGCAGTCTTATAGCAGACTTCCTGGCATTATGTCATTGTAAACTTTCTAATTCCCTTTCCACAGTGTTCCCTGAAGCATATATGAAGGAGGGAGCTGTAATGAAGATATATCCATTGGGCCTGGACTCCCCACAATCCATTGATTTCTGCAGTGTCCAGTTTTGGTTTTATATAATGGTCTCCATTTGCTTTAAAGACAAAGTACTTTGATGGAGGATGATAGCTGTACTTATCTGTGGTATAAGGATAGGGTTTTAAATGTAGTTAAGGAATTATGCTGGTCTAGCAAAGTGGTAGTAAATTGTCTTCTAAGACCCATGACCTCACTAGCCCTGGAATGTTGACTAAGTTTCTAGTCCCAAGCATGATTTTCCTTCAGTTGATCAGGCTTTAATTCCACTTAGACAGCTGATGATTACCACCGATATGTGAGTGCCACTATTACAGCTTACCAGATATTTTACTATATTCGGTACTGTTTTGGTTCATATTTTTTACATCTTGGTAGGACTATTAATTGATTCTCTCTTTTGGCAGTTTTCACAGTATTTTCTGCTATCATGGAAATTGGATCACAGGAATGAGGGTTTCAGGGTAGATACAACTGAAACAATCAGAGTCTAGTGTCCCAGATGTCTTCAATATAGGGGTTCACCTTTAGTCCCTGAGAGAAATCAAATCAAAGAGCAGTAGCAATAGATGTGTATTGATTTTGGAGTCGTTTAGACTGTCCTGAGCACTTGAAAGGAGGTTTATCATAACTGAGATTTTTATTAGTCTGTGGTTCTCATTGGAAGCATTGTCAGCACACTCACATATAACCATAGAGGGAGGATATGTATGTATGTATGTATTTATATATGTATGTATGTGTGTATACATGTACACTTTTTGTATTATGTATAAATTTTAAAGTTATAGGTATAAAAATATGTTTACTTGAGTCTTTACCAAATGACTTTGATGATATTTGTCTCTCCTTTTCCCTTCTATTTTTGTACTAACCTTCCTGCTGCTATTTATCATTCCTCCCTTTACATCACTTGCATCCTCCTATTAGCCACTAAAGCCTACCCAACCTCCAATTGTCCCTTTTTCCTTTCTTGGTTTCTGTGTTTACTCCACACTACATACTTACACTTGAACATATAGAGTCGAGGGAAGAACCTCAGATGAGAGAAAGCATATGCCAGTTGTTTTTATGGGTTTGGGTTACTTGATTTAGTAATCTTTTCTAGGTAAAACTATTTATTGCTAAAGTCCATGATTCCATTTTTCTTTACAGATGGATATTATTCTATAGTGTATCTGCTCCACATTTTCCTTATCCATCCATCAGTTGAAGGACATTCATGTTGTGTCCATTTCCTAGCCATTGTGAATGGAGAAGCAATGAACACAGCTGAGCCTGTACATGTGGAGTAGGATGTGAAGTCCTTTGGACATACACCAAGGAATGATAGAGTTTGGTCATATGGTAGATTTAATTTTAGTTTTTAAGGATTCCCTGTAATGATTTCTGAATGGTTTCACCAATTTGTAACACCACCAACAGTGAGTGAGGTTTTCCCTTTCCCCATAATCCAGTCAGCATTCTTGTTTCAATTGTTTTGTTGATCTTTGCCATTCTGGCTAGAGAAAGATAAAATCTCAGAGCAGTTTTCTTTTCCCTAACTGCTAATATTTGAAATATTTATTAATCATTGTATTTCTTCAAGTGGGAACCCCCTGTTTCATTCCATAGCCTACTTTTAAAACTTAGGCCATTTGTTTCCTTGATAATTTTTTGAGTTCTTTGTTTATTCCAAATATGAATTGTGTGTCAAGTCCATAGCTGGCACAGATTCTGTCTCATTCTGTGGGTTTCTTCTTCACTTGATTTATTGTTTCTGTAAGCTGTTACATTTTATTAATTGCTACTTTGTTAATTGCTAGCCATATCTCCTGGACAAATGAGGTCTTATACACAAATTCCTTTCCTGTACCTATATTGCGCAGGCATATAGTGAGTGTGTAATCTTTTCCTTAGAAGTTTTAATGTCTTGGGTTTCAAATTGAGGTCTTGGAGCCATGTGTGTTAGGAATTAGCAGCCAGCTGACCCCGCCCCGACGATGGGCGGGGCTGTGTCATTGCTATGTCAGCCTTACCTGGCGGCCAGAGGACTCAGTTACACATGTGCAAGCCTCTTTTAAAGCAAGCACACCAAGTGCTTCTCTCTCTCTGCCTCTCTGGTTTCTCTCTCTGGTCCTTCTCTGTTTCCTCTCTCTCTCTCTCTCCTGCTTTCGGTTGGCCACCAGCTACCCCCTCTTTCTCTCCCCTCTCTCAATAAACTCCACGTGGGTGCTGAGTCTCATGTTTGTGTTTCTTAGGCATTAGCTGCGCAGCAAAAGAACAACAATGTGGATCTAATTTTTGTGTAGGGAAGATGCAGGTTTAATTTTATTTTTCTGTCTGTGGACATATAGTTTTCCCAACACATTTGTTGAGGTTACTTTCTTTTCTCTAACATATGTTTTTTCCCTCTTAATCAACACTGAATGGCTGTAGTTACCAGTACTCATGGTTGGATCTTCTGTTTTACTTCATTGGTTTGCGTGTTTGTATTTGTGCCAGTACAATATTGCTTTCATTACTATAGGTCTATAATATATCTTCAAGTATGGACTATCAATCTCTCCCGTATTCAGTATTCCTTTTACTTGGGATTGTTTTGGCTATCTGACATCTTTCCTGGTTCCATGCATATTTTAAGGGTTTTTCCCCCTATTTCTGTGAATAAGCCTGTGCTCATTTTTATTGGGATTTCACTGAATCCAAGAATTGCTTTTGGTAGCATGATAGTTTTTGTTTGTGTGTTTGTGTGTTTTTCTCTTTTGCTTGTTTTGTTTTTTTCTCTAGACAGGGATTCTCAGTGGAGCGCTGTATGTCCTGG